CGTCCCCCCTTGTAGTCCGACATGTCTAACTTGTAGGTAGATTTGAGTCGCGCTATGAATCCACCAGGGGGGAGGTGTCCTTCGCGAATACGTGGAAAAACAGGTTGCAATTAGTACGCTTCACCACGAATCTAGATTGACGGTATTCATTTTGCATCACATGACATTTTTATTTTTTATTATTTTATATTTGATAACTAATCTGTCGGATTACAAGGTACTCTTTTTCAAAAGGTTGCGGTCTACCAGGGGGCTGTGGTAGTACTCTAAAGTCCGACAAATTCGATAATCTGACACCGTCTTGCAAACCGTTACCACGGGTCCTCTGTAGTGGATTTTCAATGTCTCTTAACGATAGTTTTGGTAATGTATATGACGACGGGCTTACCAACAAGTACTTTTTTCGCTAAAGTAATTACTTTATTTTATTATTTTAAGTCCCTTCCTCATTATACCTTAAAATAACAATGAAACAACAATTTCTAAGTAGGTTATAATAACTCGAAGCGGTAGTTAAACATTTTGGCAGCATTTGGCAATAAAGAGGCTTTAGTGGAATGAAATGAAGGCGACAACATTGTTAGAGACGTGCTGTGATCATTTGACCCACTCATTTCAAACGACATCTGAATTTCGACGCGAAAGTGGTTTTAGACAGATTCGCTTTTACGAGATCAAGTTTTTGTTTTCACTGTGAATGCTTGTGTATAAAACATACTGTCTATTAAAGTCTTCGGAAATATTTTTTTTCACCATTTTATTACAATCTATATCCTGAAAGCTCAGAAACTTAGCGCTCGCTGTACCCCAGTACCCCAACCCGGGTTCGATCCCCGTCGGCACCAATGAAATTGTTAATTGCAATTTTAAGAGCTGGTTTATAACGTGGTCGGCGGTGAAGGAATCTCTTTCGGAATTGGGAGGAGGTTTGTGCACAGGAAATGTATAGGCTCTAACTTAATTTTAAACATTATATGCTAATAATAGGCAATTGTATTCTATATGTTTGTGTAATTTTTTAATATAATTATCTTGTTCATCAATAAATGGGAGCTATCAAAATAATACAATATTTTTGTCTTTCTTGATAAGTATAGTTCATTTCAAATAGGATGGCAGGATTCCACTTGAGACTTAGCAATTACAGCTGTAATGTTAATCTATTGTTGTGTGATTATTTTATTGCTTTAACACTTGAAGATTAAGCATCTGTTGATAATACTGAACCAGTATAGCTGAAATGACGAATTTTGGTACTTGAACATTAAAACAAATTAAATTGTAGATAATAAACCCTTATTACTTTTAACTTAACTATTTTAAATACTTATAACAACTTGTTAATATTTTGTTTAATCTATCACTCTGAAGAACATTCATCGGTATCTGTGTCCTCACACGTATTTATTATAAATGGTTGTATCCGATCCCTCGAAAATTCGTTTTCCACTCTTATCACATGGTCACAAACATTCTTCCAAAAAATGGGATTTGTAGAATTTATTACGTTTCGTACACTTTGGATTACATTTTCCCCTATTGTAGGGGTAACGTTTGACTTACGGGCAGTTTTTTTTATTTGACTTCACATTAACTCAATTGGGTTCAATATACAATAATAAGGTGGGAGTCTCATTATCTCACGACCAGCCTCTTGTGCTAATTCATCGACCACATATTTTTTTTTCAAAATAATTGTTTTTGACTATTTCCAACAAACTTAATTGTTGATTTCTCTGGCACAGAAATGTTATGACTTCTTAAAAAACTTATGTCACTTTTCCTAGTGTTTGTGCTGGGAATTTTTTCTATTTGTCGGCTGTGGTATGATGCATTATCCATAACAATCACACTGCTACTGGGAATATTAGGCAAAAGCTGATCAGTTTTCGAGGGATCCGTTACAACCATTTATAATAAATACGTGTGAGGACACAGATACCGATGAATGTTCTTCAGAGTGATTGATTAAACAAAATATTAACAAGTTGTTATAAGTATTTAAAATAGTTAAGTTAAAAGTAATAAAGGTTTTTTATCTACAATTTAATTTATTTTAATGTTCAAGTACCAAAATTCGTCATTCCAGCTATACTGGTTCAGTATTATCTACAGATGCTTAACTTCAAGTGTTAAAGCAATAAAATAATCACACAACAATAGATTAAAATTACAGCTGTAATTGCTAAGTCTCAAGTGGAATCCTGCCATCCTATTTGAAATGAACTATACAAGGGTAATGTGACTCCCACCTTATTATTGTATATTGAACCCAATTGAGTTAATGTGGAGTCAAATAAAAAAAAACTGCCCGTAAGTCAAACGTTACGCCTACAATAGGGGAAAATGTAATCCAAAGTGTACGAAACGTAATAAATTCTACAAATCCCATTTTTTGGAAGAATGTTTGTGACTATGTCATAAGAGTGGAAAACGAATTTTCGAGGGATCGGATACAACAATTTATAATAGATAAATACGTGTGAGGACACAGATACCGATGAATGTTCTTCAGAGTGATTGATTAAACAAAATATTAACAAGTTGTTATAAGTATTTAAAATAGTTAAGTTAAAAGTAATAAAGGTTTTTTATCTACAATTTAATTTGTTTTAATGTTCAAGTACCAAAATCCGTCATTCCAGCTATACTGGTTCAGTATTATCAACAGATGCTTAACTTCAAGTGTTAAAGCAATAAAATAATCACACAACAATAGATTAAAATTACAGCTGTAATTGCTAAGTCTCAAGTGGAATCCTGCCATCCTATTTGAAATGAACTATAACTACAGCAACAACATATTTTATTTTCTAATTGCGTCACTACGTATTCAACAACTTCCTTGCAGAATCAACTACCGCCAGCGATTTTTCCGGACCGATACGACTTAGGGACCTTTAAGATAATGAGCCTACTCTTCTTCAAAAGGCCGGCAACATATCAATATGCAATTACCCAGGTGTTGCAGGCGGCTTCCTATATAATAATAACCCTACAGGCCATCCCTGGAACTTGCAGCTAATTTCAAATAAAAAGTGCTCCAAACTTCATTTATAATATATTAGAAACATTCTATTTATAGATACTTTGAAAGACCAGGTTTTTTTTCAAAATTGAATTTTTCACGAATAAATCGATTCACGAACTTGACGAGGGTTGGCGCATTTAATTTATTACATCAAAAACGATCCGAGAAGAAATTAAGAAGTTATTTAAACGCTTTTTAACGCTTTCTAACGCCGCCAAGGTCGTCGTTCAAATCGGATCAGCAATTTAAAAGTTATGAGAGGATAACATACACACACACACACACACACACACACACACACACACACACACACACACACACACACACACACACACACACACACACACACACACACACACACACACACGCACACGCACGCACGCACGCACATACATAGTGACATCCTCGTGGAAATAGTCAGAACGGCTTCCTATGATCTACAAATGTGAAGATGTGATGAGATATACTTAGAGATGAGCCTCGATTTTCGCAAACCGGAGTGAAACCAATCCTGATTTTTTGAAAATCATTCATTTTCATAGCGGGAAGTTAAAAAAATTAAAGCTGCTACACACATTTTCTGTAGCCTTTTGGGGTTCATAGAACATCATTATAGAATCAGAAAAGAAATGAGTTTAATTTGTTACAACATTCGCATACAAAATTTAAAGTTGATTATACTCGTATGTGCCGTTCAAAGTATACAAAACTCATAACAGTCTTATTTACAAGCTGATCCTAGTAAATTTAATTTGTCCTTAATTTTATATTTTGGTATGTTAAATAAAATATTTTCACTTTATTATTTATACAGAATAATAAATAAGAATAAAAGTAAGAATTGTAAAAATTAATATTTTTAAGTATTTATTGACTATCTAATAATTTTTCTAAGTTTATTGACCAAATTGGCGATATAATGAAAATGGGTCAAATTAAAAGTACCCTTAACCGACAAGCATGTGTGCGTAGGTACATGGATTTGGAGGAGGCGAGAGAGGTGTGTCAGGATCGTGCCAAATGGAAGTCTGTAGTCTCTGGCTATCCGTTTGGGTAAAGGGCGTGAGTGTTTATGTATGTATGTTTTATGTATTTGTTTTTATTCTTACTATTTATTAACTTGTCGCCTTGATATAGGTAAACGAATCCAAAAAAAAATCCCTATAAGCGATGTTTTTTTTAGAGGCGTTTCATCGTGATATTATCTTTTTTGCTTTTTCGTGGCAACAATAGAAAACGTATGTTTTATTTCTAAAACTTTTGTGACTTTCTTTACATATATTATTAAAAAGATTTCAACCTGAATAAAAACGAGAGGTACAGAGCTCCAACTTTTGATGTAAGTCGTGATGAGATAGATAGATGACAAATGTGCAGGCTTAGGGATAGAATATGAAGTTCAGAAAAAATATATTTAAGATCACTATGATCTTTCATTATGATCATTATGCTCTTTAAAAGCAAAAATGCACAATTTATTATTTTGTGTTTTTATTCACAATATGATTTTTAAAGACTGCCGGCACTAAGTAATAAGCATATATAGCTTAGTAATTTTTTGTCAACTATAACATACAAAGCAAACAAAACAGAAAATAAATATAATTACTTTCTTTTCTTCTTTCTTACAAAGTAGGCTTAACCGTACTGGCTTTCTACACATCCAGATTGCTATTTGGCGATAGATATGGGTAGGAGGGTAAACTACCCCGATGGACTCCCATTCAGAAAAGTATTCCGCGACCACCTAGCACCTTCTATAGTCATAAAGTAACAAAAAAGTAAAGATCATAAAAGCTCCACATACATACAGAATGTTCCCACGTAATAATGGCCCTTTTTTAAAAGCTTCTTTCATGTCCGACAGTAAAATACTATCTTCTCATTTATGTGTGACGTTTGCTTTAGATCGGAATTACCTAGAGTCATTTTCAATTATTGACTTTCAATCATTGAAAATTGATTTGCGATGGAATTGCAGTCGGAAATACCGAATCAATCCAGGCAATTTAACGATGACAAGCCCGCCGGAATAACGAATTTTGCAGCTGCTCTCCGAGTGTCTGTATTCGGAGGTACTTTTATTTTATTATACCGGGAATTATGATATTTCGCTCCTCAAAAATTGACCGAAGCCAAATTAACTGATCAGTTTTATGTTTACTAAAAATGATCAGTTTAGTAAACACAATTGAATACTAGTGGTTGAAATTGTGCCTTTAAATTGAACACATGAAAATTATCGTTTTTATATAATTAAAATATTTTTTGGATTGTATATAATCTTATATATATATTTAAATCACATATTTTTTATTCTATAGAGTAGGGTTGACAAACGAGCACAAAGTCCACCTGATGTTGAGAGGATGCCGTGGTCCATAGACATCTACACTTATCCTCGATTAAGAATCAAAATGCAGATTCGTTGTCACCCCTGAGGACTAAAATGGAATGCCTCGTTTCTAGTAAAAAATATATTAAATTTTTGTTAGTGTAAACAGATGGTACCATTTATTTATTTATATATTAAATAATTAATGCCGAAAAGATAGTCTATTCTATTTAAAAGTCTTCTTTGAGAGTTAAGGTTGCTGAAATTTTTCATAACAGATATCATGTTAAACCATAAATTAACGTAAAATATGTAAAGTTAGTAATCATATGAACTACTTTGTTACAGGCGATCCAGCGCAGGCCTATTGGCGTCTCAGTTGACCTGTCAGAATTCGTCTACAGCAGCAAATGCGACCCCATCTCATCTTCCTGCGCCATCTTCCCCACCGAGAGTGGCCTCCGCACCACCAGCCCCTATTGTTCAACCACCTCCGGATCCCGTGCCTCAACCCGCCCAAGAAGATGGCGTTAGATTGCGTCGGGCACATACTGTGGCCGTTCGTGATTATATAAAGCGGGAGACTCAGACATTTTTTGGAGTGCAGAAAGATAATGAGAGGGAACAAAGGAGACTGTGGTATGAGAGGAGAAAACGACATGCAGCGAGGGCTCATGGCGACCTCAGACTCGACTTGCCACCGGATCACCATCCCGACGATGATGATATTAGGTAAATTCTTAATGTTTTTATTTTTCCAGAAAATAAGGCTGGTATTCAGAGAAATTTTCGAGTCCAACCTCAAATTTCAGTGTCAAAATGCGTGTAAATAAGGCCAATATTCAAAATTTGATATTGTGACTGTGCTTAAGCTCGAGATTGTCTCCGAATATATTTTTGTTCTCATGTATATTTATAACGGATTAGTAATCTGAAGTGGCAATGGGCCGGCCAAATAGTTCGAAGAACCGACAATCGTTGGGGAAAAAAGGTTCTCGAGTGGCAGCCTCGTACCGGTAGGCGAAGTGTAGGGCGACCCCCCACTAGATGGAGTGACGACCTGGTAAGATATGCAGGAAGTCGATGGATGCAGGTGGCTCAGGACTGTGCTTTGTGGCATACCTTGGGGGAGGCCTATGTTCAGCAGTGGACTTGTGAAGGGCTGTAATGATGATGATGATGATGATGATATATTTATTGATTATTTAGATATTTTCTTTATTTCTACCGCCAGTAATTCTTTCTGCTGTGCTTAATTTAGCAGAATCATCGGTCAAATCTATTGTTGTGAATCGTTGGAACGTTTCGAAAGATTTATATTCTACGAGCTTATTGAATAGACTCTGAGCTATCCAATGTATTGCTATAACTGTGGAATTTGCTAATTAGCTTCAATAAACTGTAACTGAAATTCAGCAAATAATCTGAGGGCTTCCACATATTCTAGCTACATCAGTCAAACTCTTCGACTGTCCATTGGAACTGATCAATTTCCTTTATTACACTTATATACTTTCGATTTAAATTTACCATACCACATTTTAGTTGTGAATTTTTAGAAATTATACTTTTTTTTCATTGTCATCCTTTTCTTTAAGTAACAGCTCACAGTGCTCTTTGGATGCTTTGAGTTCTTGAAACACAAGAAGTTCAACATCACGCATCTTGGCGTTGCGAGTATTAATTTTGCTATGTATTTTAAATAGTAAAAGAAAACAAAGACGGAAAATCAAGGAAGCAAAGTGAGCAAATATCTAATTGTAAGACAAATTACAGATCTCAAATTAAATTATCAAGAAAACAATATTATCGTAAATATTAAAAGGGATGACAATAAATGAAGTAACTTAAGAGTTTAAACGATGTTCGTTACCTGCTGTCACTTTAAGTTGAAACACTAAAATTAATTTATTTAGATATTTAAGAAAGAAAGAAACAAAGAGATATTTATTTTACCATTTCTCAAGAAATGTACACTGGATACTCAAAATAATTATTATGTTATCTTATAACTAGACTTAATTATACACTTAAAAGGAAAAATAAATCGTTTTGACAAAAAAAAATGATGCAAATAGTTATAATATAAATATAAAAAGCGAATAGCTAACATTTATGATAATGGTTCAAACAGGGTTGCCACTCAGAAAATGCTAAGATATATCATCCTAGCCCTGATTTTCAGTGGCAACCATAATTAAGTAAAATTGAAGCACACAAATACATTTCATAAAACCATGCCACAAATCTTTTTGGGCCCACTACAAATGGTCTGTTTATTACTGGTATAACGCTTAAAACAACAGAACAAATACAACAACATACGGTTTAAAACATCTTTCTTAATTAATGATTTCTTATATTTACGCAAACACTAAATGTAAGTAACAACACATTTGAATAAAACTGATTTTATCTCGTATATTAACTTTTTTATATTCCCTATGTTTCAAGCACTACACCGCCCATGGCACATGAATAGATAAACGGAACGGTAGATAAAAAGATAAGCCTCATTTACATTCAGCCCCTGCCACTGCTCCTCGCGCTGCCGGCAATACTTGGCTAAATACTGCCGTAGCAGGATCGCGGGAAGTGTGTATTTACACTCTGCCCTACCACTCACATCGCTTTCGGCTTTCGACTATGGCAGACGTCGAAATCGAAATAATTGCAGCGTCCGCGCTGTGTCTTCTTGCAGTACAAAATTATGTTAATAATTTAAAAAGATATCAAGTTCAAGAGAAGATAGATAGATAGATAGATTTTATTTGATAGATAGAATTTATTTGCTTAAAAACATGTTACATAAGATCATCAATGACGTGGAACTGACATGTTTTGCCTTGAATTATTACATTATTGTTACATAAATAATATTAAATATTATATGAGATTAGTTAAGCTATTATTATTTTAATAATTACACTACAGTATAAATTAATTCATAATTTTAATTACAATAAAATTATAATTTAAAAATCTCAGGCTATTATGCAAATATTACCATTTAACTTATTTTACATTTTAATAAATAAATAATCAATATTACTTACTAATCGTTTTTAGAAATAAAATGTCAATGTTCATTAATTCCTTAAACTTAACTAAATATTATATTAAAATAATAAATTTGACGAATTTATAATTAATTATGTACATAGGTACTGTTATCTCAAAAAGAAAATTGGTATTCGTAGAAGATGATGAATTGTGGTTTTTATCGTTGAAATCCCATAGTTTTTTCTGATTCCAGGAGTTCTAAAAACTTTATTGTATTTTCATTATTCCACTCGAAAGGCATTTTGGTAGATCGTACTTATTTAATAACAAGACGCCACGCACGTCCGTTCATCCAGGCGCTTGGCGCGAAGTGAGCGATGGAGCTGAATGTGAACACTCACTGCCGCTCGCGCTGCCCGTCCTTTGACTTCCGCACGAAAAACCGACATTTGAGCGATCGTCGGGCAGTGTCAGCGGCAGCGGCAGTGTCAGCGCGAGTAGCCTGTTTACATACTGCCCTGCCCACTGCCCTGCTCACTTCCCTGCCCAAACGGGCTGAATGTAAAGCCCCATTTACATTCAGCCACTGCCACTGCTCCTCGCGCTGCCGGCAATACTTCCCTAAATACTGCTGTAGCAGGATCGCGGGAAGTGTGTATTCACACTCTGCCCTACCACTCACATCGCTTTCGGCTTTCGACTATGGCGGACGTCGAAATAATTACAGCGTCCGCGCTGTGTCTTCTTGCAATACAAAATTATGTTAATAATTTAAAAAGATATCAAGTTCAAAAGAAGATAGATAGATAGATAGAAAATTTATTTGCTTAAAAACATGGTACATAAGATGATCAATGACGTGGAACTGACATGTTTTGCCATAATTGGCATGGAAAAATGATATAAAATACAGCTAATTACACAAACCCGATGTTGCTTAAAAAGTTAGGTACACACATTCTTTTTTGAATTCAAATATTATGTACAATTAAATACTTATACAGATCCACTCTATTTGAATTCTTATACAGTAAATTGTTCATAAATTATTAATTGAATTATTATATTATTGTTTACAGTGGTAGAGCCACGCGGCAGCTTTGCTGTCGCACGTATGGGCCGGCTCAAACCGGGGTGGTACCACGACCTCACAGAATACCGGCGTGAAGTGGAAGCTCTGCTTCCGCGTTTCGTCTGGTGAGTGCAGGTGGCCGGAGGCCCAAATCCCCCCCCCCCCATCAACATGGTAGCGGAATTAAATGATAGACTACCCCAGGAGGGTACCAGCACCCCTGGAGAATCCCTCGCTGAGCATCCACGACCATGTTTCTCCACTTCTGAGCGTGGGTGCTCAGGCTGCCCCGCGTATTCTGGGGGGGGGCAATATTCCGCTCAAGACTAAAACTGCTCGGGGCAAACGGAGCAGCAAGACCAAGGCGACCCCTGCCACGCTGTCCGTGAATTTCTGCAATATCAGGGGACTTCACTCTAACCTAAACGCCGTCCACTACCATCTCGAGACGGCGAGGCCGGCTCTGCTCTTTCTGACCGAGACGCAGGTGTCCTCTCCGGCTGATGTCTCGTATCTCTCCTGTCCGGGGTACAAACTGGAACACTCCTTTGTGCCTCGGGCTGGAGTTTGCGTTTACGTCAGAGAGGACATCTGTTCTCGACGCCTCGGCAGACTTGAAGGTTCGGACCTGTCCATCCTTTGGCTACGCGTAGACAGCGACGACCATCCGCGCGTCTACGGGTGCCTCTATAGGTCCCATAGCGGTAATGCCGAAACAGACCGACTCTTCGACCACGTCCAAATGGCTGCAGATTCGTTGCTACAGCAGATCCCCTCCGCAGAGATCGTGATCCTCGGCGACTTTAACGCCCATCACGCCGAATGGCTCGGTTCACGTTTAACCGATCATGCGGGGAGATCTGTTCATGATTTTGCCTTGGCATATGGTCTGACACAACTGGTTACTTCGCCTACGCGGATTCCAGATGTGGAGGATCATGCACCTTCCCTGTTGGACCTTCTGCTGACCTCTCACCCGGACGGATATCAGATTTCCGTTGACGCCCCTTTAGGCTCCTCGGACCATTGTCTTGTCCGGAGTGTGGTGCCACTCACGCTGAAACCGCGGTTGCATTCTGCAGGCTGCCGCCGTATTTGGCACTATAGGTCAGCCGATTGGGATGGGATGCGGTCTTTCTTTGCATCCTACCCTTGGGGGCGGGTTTGCTTCTCGCCGGATGATCCCAACGTTGTTGCGGATTCTGTCGCTGATGTGGTACTTCAGGGTATGGAACTTTTTATTCCTTCCTCTGTGGTGCCCATTGGAGGCAAATCTCAGCCATGGTTTGGTCGCTCCTGTAAAATAGCATCATGCTATAAGCAGGAGTGCTACCGAGCCTGGGCTGACGCATCAGCGTCCAGGGATGTAAACACCAGCGCTCTAAAAAAGAAGTATAATTCCGCCTCTAGGTCCTTCAAAAGAGTCATTGCCAAGGCAAAGTCAGAGCACATAGGCAGAATTGGCGAGAGACTAGTTCGTCTTCCTTCTGGAACCCGTGCATTCTGGTCTCTCGCCAAGGCTGTCCAAGGGAATTTCTGTCAGCCATCTCTTCCATCTCTGCACAGGGAGGACGACTCACTGGCCCACACCGCAAAGGAGAAAGCCGATCTTCTAGGCTCTTTCTTTGCGTCTAACTCGACTCTCGATGACGGGGGG